TGACATCATCTCGGTATTTAACCGAATCATAACTAATCCCCGAGGATCTCGCCCCGGACGAGGTCCGTTATCTAATCATATTACACCTCATCTCAGGCCCAAGGCCCAAAGCAACCCTAATTCACACCTAGGTATGTGCATTACTTATACGAGACTAATACTCACACAAACACTAAATTTAGCATCGGAGTTTCTTTTGCAGGTACCACCCCCATCTTGGAGCATCAAGCGTACCAGTGAAGGAGGCTCACCAATCTTACTCGACGGATCACCTATACGGCAGATTTCCGGTAAGAACAATAACTAAATATGTTATTTAAATGAGTAATTTTATTAAAACAATTTATTCTCCTTTAACGTAAGTATTTCACCAAAAAATATATACGTGCAACTTACTAATCTCTTCACACGCAGACGTAGCGTGGAAAAAAATCAAGTTTTATGAACCGTGTTTAAAAATAAAAAATAGAAATAATACAAGTTAATAAATGGTTTGTGCGTTGAAGTTCAAGTGTGAAGTGAAGTTTTACATCGGTTAGAATTGAACATGTTGAGTAGTATATAAGTGAGAAAGACTCACTTACTTAATGTCTTAAGGTTTTAAGTTATTTATCGTGTCAAGCTCATTTGTGTGACTTACTCATTATTCATTAAGTTGACACTCCCTAGTGTTAAAAACTCCTCCTTGACCCAATATTGTGTCAGGAAAAGGAGAAAAAAAAGTTAACAGAATATGTATTCCTTTTATTTATACTTATATATAAAAGCAGAAAGATTAGGTATAATACCAATTGATTCAATAAATATTAATAATTCTTAAATACTTTTAAACAAATATAAGTATATATAGTAGAAATCTATTTACTTCAATATAATAAATCTTTATATTCAGCAACTCATATTTACATTAAATTTTAATGATCAAATCATTTAATTAAAAATAATTAATATATAGATCAAGTCTAATTAAAAAAAAACTTTAAAATCTTATAATACTTTATTATATATATTCAAATCAACGTATAAAATATTTTTATAATTGTTTTTTAAATTAAATTAATGAAATAAAATATCAAATTATTATTATTATTTTAAAAAAATTATAAACTTAATTATGATTAAAAAATTTAATTCAACAATTAAATTATTAAAATTTAATGTATAACATGAGTTATTGGAAAAAGGTTACCACATACGTAGTAAATTAAATATATATATATATATATATATATATAATATGGATTATGTAATCCTTCATAAATGGGTGATTTGATTATGTGACACACCCTAAAATCAATTATATGTCATTTGAGTTGGAAGCATAGTTGATGTGCCATAATTGACTACGATTTCAAGTCGAACGAGCATATAAGAGCAACTTCAATGGGAGTTGCTTGTCCTATGAAGCAACTCAAGTGTCGGTTTCCTACCATTGGAGGACTCTGACGTGGCAACATGAGTTGCTTGAAGGAGAGAGAGAGTTGCTTCCTCACGCAACCGTTCCTTACCAGATTTTAAGCAGATCTTATTGAACATATTTAGAAATGTTTCGAAAATAATAATGATGAAAATTAATTTCGTATGATATTTATGTACTTATTATTGCTTTATTTTATTTTTAATATCTACTTATTGTGTATTTTTTCTCGTAATTTATTTTCTTTCACTGTAGCACAATTTTTTTTAATAAAAATTTAAATTTGGTTCATAAATAATTAGGAAAAAAAATTCTAAAATTTGAATTTCTTAAAGTTTCTTACCATTAAAGTAAATTTGTGTTTGAGTTGCTTAATGCTGATATGGCACACTAAAAATTACTTTTTTCATTTTTCAATGCATGAAGCAACTCAAATGAGTTGCTTCCATTGGAGATGCCCTAATTCATTATAAATTCTCTATTATATTCGTAAATTAAGTAGTGGTAGCTGTTTCAAAATTTGTTACTAAATCCATGAAAAAAATTTCACTGGAGAAGAAATTTAAATTTTAAGACTCACATATAAATCCTTTCTAATTCACTGAATTTTTCTTCTCTAAACACACATATTTATTTTAAATCATAAATAATTCTTCTCTTTCTTCTCAAATCCATGTTAAATCAACTCTCTCAACACATAATTAGGGTTGTGTTGGTCGTGTAAACTCTCGTTTAGCAAAATCTATAGTTACAATATGTACTTTTGCCGTATAAATCAAAATTTTTAAAAGATTATAGTTCCAATGCAATCCCTGATTTCAATCAACCCTATCCAATGTCTAAGGGACCACCACCACCATACAGGATACAAGTAAACACAATGGTAGAACCATCACTACACCATACGCGACCCATTGGCATTACTGACACAGTACAGTACCGAATTTTCCACCAAATGCAACCAATGGAATTTGGATATATATGACAATGTCCAAACATTTCTCCACGCATGGATAGAGTATAATATATTTATCATCAACGATAAGCTCTTCAAATTTAGGGAAGAGTCCATGAGAACGTACGAACGTGCAGCTCTGTCCCTCCACACTTGCAACTTTCTCTTTGGTTTTATTGTCTCATGGGAATATTAGGATGCAATAGTTCGGAAAACACTTGAAATATATATGATATTTATATACAGTACTATGTGTGCAACAACCACCATTGTGTGATCCATCATTCAATCTTTTCATTGATCTCTAGTTCTCTAAATCGGTAATTTGTTAATAATAACATGTAGGCAGGTTTTCCCTCTAGAGTAGTTGTTTCAGCTTCATTAATTAATACGATGGATTACCGAACATGACGTAGAATAATTGTGAAACACATTGGATTTAATCATTATCGTATGGTTTTTGTTTGTGACACGCGTATATATAATGATAGTCTCATTCCTCAAGGTCGAAAGCTACTCTATTAGTTGAAATCATAATATATATGAATGAATACATATATCTTTTTTTTGGTAAAGAATGAATACATATATCTGAGTACAGGTTGCCGAGAAAGTTAATTAGAGGTAATTTATTAATCCGCGTTGCCAGTTTCATAGTGGGGCAAATTTCTTTTCTGTTATCAATTTCATTAATTTTGTGTGCGTTTTGCATAGTTGTAGTAAGGCGTGTTACTAGATCTGAGACCGAATAGTTGGATACTTATGCCTTATCAAAGCAATTTAGTAATTAGCAATGAATAAGAGGGAATTAATTCTCAACCTTTTCTCTTTGTTTGGTAACATTGAACAAGCCTGATTTGACCTGTCAACGTTTATTGATGATCATTTTTGTTCGTTTCATGTTTCCATTTATTCCAAGCCACCCCAAAATGAGCTTTCCTATTATTGCTAACACTTTTTATTTATCAACTTTAGAATGTAATATAAGAATTAAAAATATAATGATACCCTCATTTATATTAAAATTATTTTTAAATCTTTTATTCATATAACCTTCATTACCATTATCATTTTTTTTCTATCACCAGAGTGACCCATTATAGAAATTAAAAGGATACTTATATATAT